CAAACATGGCCTTCCAAGATACACTGTCACCAGACTTATAGTTGGGCATAAAAGTGAGAGCCACCATGGCTATACAGGAAGGTTCGGGGAAAGTGACCATCTGCTGGGACAATGTACCAGTGGACACCTGTTTTTTAAGATCGTTTCCTCTTTTGCATCTGGATCACTGGTGTGCAATTTGGCCTCTCTTGTGGCTACAACATGACACTTCCACAAGCAAGCCATTCTTCAAAGCTTTCTTCTAAATGGCATTACTCTGGTTTCAAACTTTTTTTAAATGTATATGAGTATGTGTATGTAAGTGCAGCCATGTGTGCAATGTCCATAGAGGCCAGAAGAGGACACTGGATCCGCCTGGAATGGGAGTTAGCCACCATGTGGGGGCTGGGAACCAAATCTGGGTCCTCTGTGAGAGCAGTAAGTGCTCTTAACTACTGAGCCATCTCTCCAGTCCATATATATACTTTTTTAAAGACAGGGTCTCACCAAGTAAACCCTGGCTGGCCTTGAGCTTGCTTTGTAGACTAGGCTGGCCTCAAACTCACAGAGGTCTCCCTGCCTCTACTTCCAAAGTTCTGGAATTAAAGTTATATACTACCACACCTGGAATTTTCATCCTTCTTTCCTTCTTTCCCTCTCTCCCGCTCTCTTTCTCTCCCTGTATTTTATTCCTGTGTGTATATATGTACATCTATAGGTATGCTGTGTGTGTAGGTACCTGAGGAAGCCAGAAGAGGGCATCAGACCCCTGGAGTTAGAATTACAGGTGGTTACAAGCTGCCTGGTGGGTGTGTGCACTGGAAACAACTCAGATCCTCTAGCATCAAGTGCTCTTAACTGCTGAGCTGTCTGTCTAGTCCCTGCTCTGTGTCTATTTTTGGACTCTCCTTTCCTTTCTTTAAACAGACAATTTGCAGACTCTTTGCTAACCCAGGTTTCTACTCTATTCTTACTCTTAAGGGGGTGGGGGGTCAATGATCTGTCAATCTACAATTTTGAACTGGATCTTTTGGATCCACTATCTCGGCTTCCCTTACCTCTGTCCCATCAGATGGTTAAGAGATTAGCCTGTTCTCCCTGCGGAGGGAGAGCTGAAGGTCCGAAGGCAAGATGTTAACATGAATAACAACAGGAAGGACTGTTTTCTGTTCTACATTCCTCCTGAATTCATCATCACAAAGAGCAAGTGCCATAGCTAAGAGCTGATGATTGATTGGTTAATTCCTGGATGGTGGGTCCTAGACTATGCTGACCTGCTTTGTGAAGCTCAGTGCCATAGCTAAGAGCTGATGATTGATTGGTTAATTCCTGGATGGTGGGTCCTAGACTATGCTGACCTGCTTTGTGAAGCTCAGTGTCTAAGAGCACTAGCCGATGTTCAAGAATGAATGTGCCAGGCTGGGTGTGGTGGTGCACGCCTTTGATCCTAGAGCTTGGGAGGCAGAGTAATGCAGATCTCTGTGAGTTCAAGGCCAGCCTGGTCTACATAGTGAGTTTCAGGTTAGCTGGGGCTATAGAGAGACCCTGTCTCCAAAAAAAAAAAAAAAAAAAAAGAATGAATATGCTATGTGATATCAAAAGGTTTGTACACATAGTGACAGTTAAATGGTCTAGTCAGAAAAATCTAGTTTGACATTTTTCACATGTCTTTTAGTGACAATTCTTCCAGTGAAGGTAGATTTTACTGTTAAGGACAAATGAGCCACAAACTCAAATTCTGTGGCTTATAATGTTGAAGAAATCGCAACTTCTTCAAACATGGAGTCAGTATCCCAGGCTGGAGGGATGGGGACCAACATTTACTCTTGTTCTTTGGAGACAATGAACTTCAAGGCACTGAGTTCCAGGTGGCTGAGTTCTAGCAGGTTGTAACTGGGTACTTGGATGGATCACTTGGCTAAGCTGTTTCTTTTTCTGAAAAAATTACAGGCTTTGGCTCTTAATCTCCACATTTTCTTTCTGTAAGGGCTTCTGAGTCTATTTCTAAGATAAAAATTTATGGAGATACTACTAGTTACAGACATTTCCTTTACCTGGGATTAGAATAATTAAAGAAATAAAATCTTTCTCGTAAATATAAGAATTTTTTCCAGACCATTATAATTTCAAAGTAAAGTTACAGAACAGCGAATGTTCAGAGGTACAAACCATTAGCCATGACCCCAAAGTGCGAAGGACTGTCCTCACACCCAGTGGGTCATGATCTCCTTCTCACTCAAGTTCAGCTAGGGAAGGTATTTTCATGTCAAAGATGGGAGGCCAACGTTCCACAGCTGAGCCAGCAGAGGCCCCAAACTGTCAGCTCTCTGAGCGGATGAGGCCCCAAGCCCAGAATGTGGCTTCAACTCAACTTTTGACTCCAAGTCATTTAACAAGTCTCCAAAAGCTGAGGTCTGTTCCTGGAATAGAAACTTCTCTGTTTTTTTCCTAAAATACTCCTTTGAAGAGCTTCAGAGTTGCTCAGTGTTTTGCTAACATTTTAGGGAACTATGGAAAAACTGGCACATCACAGAAGGAAAAAATGCCAACAGAGAACAGGGTCGCCCGAGGTCACGGGTCAATTCCATCCATACGTGTGATCAGAAATTCCTCCCCAGCAAGGAACCTTCACATGAGTGTCTGTCACCCCCATTACACAGGCACAGATGGCTGGAGGGGCAGTGCTGGTGGTGACAGCTGTTGAGGACATGAAGTTATTGACTCAGTGGTGTCAGAGGCCTTCTGTGATGGGCCATTTGCCCAGAGTTGTCCATGTCATACGCTGGATCAGACATTAAGCTGTAGGCTTTGGAAGAGTGTCCACTGGAGGTTTAGAGCACGTGTAGGGCATGCTTCTAAAGACCACCAGTGCTGCTCATCGGGCTAAATGGTTCTTAGGACACTGGCAAGGACAGCGGCTACTGTCTTCCTGTTCTCGGTGTAACCCAACACTTTAGCCCTTGGCCCTCTGCACTGGCTATTTATTTTTAATTTTTAAAATATTTTACTTACTATTTTTATTTTTTGTGTATGAGTGTTTTGCCTGCATGTATGTAAGTGCACCGGTGTTGTGCAATGTCCACAGAGGTCAGAAGAGGGTGTTGGATTCCCTGGACCTGGAGTTACAGACAGTTGTTAGCTGCCAAGTGGGTGCTGGGAACTGAACCTGGGTCCTCTGCAAGAGCAGCCAGTGCTCTTAACCACCGAGCTATCTCTCCAACCCCTGCATTGGCTATTTATGATAACACATTCAGGTAATTGTACAATGTTTATATAGTATTCATAAATGGAAATTAAGTTCTACAGGCCCTAAAAGGCACAGAATAGCTACAACAAAGGAAAACTAAGCTACATTCCAAGGCTCCATATTTCTTTTTTAGTACTTTTCTCATCTACACTTTGCAACCTACAAGGGCAGAGTCCACTCTACTACGTAAGTTTGCTTGATTTTTTTAGTAAATGTTTTAACTATCAATCTTAAAGTATATACCATGTCCTTTGGCTTCTACAGGGTGTGCATATCTTGTGTTTTCTGAACATGATTTCCCATGTCTGAATTGCCCACGGGAGCTTGGTAAAGGCAGAATGTGTTGCATATGAATGTGCACCCAGACGCCAACAGGTGACACCAATGGCTTAGTGTTATACGCCTTTGTTCACAGCTGTAGGCTCCTGGACAGAGTTTGGGATCCAGAAGGCACCCTCAAATATGGCTAAATAAGTTGGCTCTATTAGCATAATGTAATTAGGAAAGGAGCTTTCATTAGGGAAACCAAAACACTATCAGTTAAATCTGGGAAAGGGCCATCATGTTTACAAAGCTCACCTTGGGAGTTTAAAAAGTGAGCTGGAAATTATGCGGCAAGACAAGAGTATTGGGCTGGGGTACAGCTCTGAGACAGAGCACTTACCTAGGATATGCAATGCCCTAGGTTCACACACACACACACACATACACACACACACATACACAAACACACACACACACAAATATAAAAGAAATTTAAGCTAGGTATGGTGGTATGCACCTGTAATTCTAGCACTTGGGGAGGTAGAGGCAGGAAGATTAGGAGTTGAAGATCATCCTTTGTTACACAGTGAGTTCAAGGCCAAGGCCAGTCTAGGCTATATGAGATCGCGTCTCAAACAAAACAAAACAAAACAAAACTAGACACAAAGGGGCAGAGGGGTACGGCTCAGTGGATCAAGTGCTTGCTGTGCAAGCATAAGGAGTAGAGTTTGGGTCTCCCACACCCACATAAAGGCCAGCAAGTGTGATGGCCTGACTGTAACCCTAATGTTAGGGAGGTGGACAGAGAGGATCCCTTGAGACAGGCTGGTTAGCTATACTAGCTGAATGGGAAGCTCCAGGATAAATGAGAGGCCCACTTCAGTAAACAGGGATCAAGGAAGACGGCACATGTGTACCCACACATGAGAAAACACATACACACACACACACACACACACACACACATACACACTACCCCTACATACATAAGCAAACAAAATAGACAACAGTATTATTCACATTCAGGCAAAGCCTGCCTTTCTTGATCATGTCAGGGGCCCAAGAAGTGCTGAAAGTACTTAGAGTCAATGGTCTTGAACAACAATCATGTAATTCATCTAGTCAGGCATCACCTTATGAAATATAGAATTTCTTCCTTTAAGCTGGCAATTTCCGGGGCTGGAGAGATGGCTCAGCGGTTAAGAGCACTGACTGCTCTTGCAGAGGGCCTGGGTTTGATTCCCAGCACCCACATGGTGGCTACGAACCATCCTTAACTCCAGTTCCAGGGGAATCTGACCTCTGCAGCACTGCACGACACGGGTGCCCACACATACATGCAGGCAATACACTCATACACATAAAATAAAAATAAATAATATTTTTAAAAAGATGGCAATTTCCCTCTTTTTGAACAGATATAACCAGAGAGAGAGAGAGAGTGCGCACGCGCACGCATGAGAGAGAGAGAGAGAGAGAGAGAGAGAGAGAGAGAGAGACTCCCCCTTACCGTCAGTGACAGCGCCATGCAGACAAACGTGAACCTCTTGATGTGGGCTGCGGTGACTGTGCTGCTTGTGTTTGCCAGTTTATTGCTGGGGTTATTCTGGGGAAAGAGAACAGCAGTGATGACGGGACTGGATTATCCTTGGCTGACCCGCTCCCAGATCTCAAAGAGCATCTTTATTTGATGTGTCTCAAGATTGGACTTCAAGTGACAGCTTGGAAGATGGCTGGCACATTGGATCTCTCAAACAGCTGTCAGGTTCCTGTCCAGGAACATTAACCAGAGGGAGCTCCAGGCTCATTCAATCCTCTGCCCTTGGCAGTAGGCTGCCACCTCACCCCGCCCGGCCTTGGCTCTGAGGCTTGCTTCCTGACTCATGTGTCCCCTTTGGGCTCCAGCAGACCCTATGCCTGGCCACCAAGGCTGTCTCCTTAAATGCCACAGCTGTGCTCAGTGACCTCTGGGGATCCCTACCTCCCTACCAAATGGACATCATTTCCCCTGAGCACCTAAAGCCCTGATCAGTCTGACCCAGACTCACCTTCCCACTTTAGTCCTCTACGGGCATCCCAAATGGTGCTCCCAGCTGTTCCCCATATCTGTGTTTTTTCCTGCTCTTGTTGATCTCCTGGCTTTCAAAACACACTTCTCTTCGAGGCCCACCATTTTCCCTTCATAATTGCTCCTCAAAGTCTCTCCAAGCTTTGACTTAAAGATTGTTTCAGGCTTTACTCTTGGTGACTCTGGAGCTGTATTTAGGTAGACACTGTGTCCTGCACATGTTTAGACCCTGATGCACCTCTCTGAGATGAAGTACCCTGTGTCTCCTAACACTTTGGCTCAGAAGCATTTAGTACAATCTGTCATGAACATATCAGGCTGTCAGAGCATTTCCTACACTAAATTGTAAGCAAATCCTGCAAGTGGTTCCAGTGTTCTCTCATGGATCATTAACGCCTACAGTGATGAGCCTGGTGGGGAGGCATACCGTTTTAATCCCAGCACTTGGGAGGCAGAGGCAGGCAGATCTCTGTGAGATCAAGGCCAGTCTGGTCTACATAGTGCAAGGCCAATTAGGGCTAAAGGGATATCCTAGCTCAAAAACAAACAAACAAACAAATAAAGTACAGCAACAGAGGCCTGCTGAGGCTGTTCCAGTCCACAGCCAAGCAGGCTCTGTCCCAACACGAGTGCCTGGCCCCACACTAGAAAAATTGGAGAAGAACCCCTGCCTCATTAGGGATCAAATTAGTCCCAGAGCTGAAGAATAAAAACCCATGACACCTGGCTCACATGCAACCACCACTGATCTTCCAGAGTAATCTAGTTTACCTTTGCTACTCACACTTCCCCCAAAGATGTCACCTGTGAAAACATTAGAATATATATATATATATATATTCTCTGAAATGTATCTGCTTTTCTGAGTGTTTCCTGGTTAGCTTTAACTGTCAGCTTGCTGCAGTCCAAAATCACCTAGAAGAGAGTCTCAGTGAAGAATTATTTAGATGAGGCTGGCTTGTGGGCACACTCTGTGGGGGGGTTTCTTAATTGTGTTAATTGATGTGGAAGATCCAGCCACTGTGGGTGGCAGCATTCCCTAGGGGTTTCCTGAACAGTACAGCATGAGAGGAATGCTGGCAAGCAAGCCCATGTGGACTCACTCCTCTGCCCTTGACCATCCATGTGCTATTGACTACCTGCTTGCATCTGTCTTGACTTTTCCTCTATGGACTCGAGCCTAGAGTTATAAGCTGAATAAATGCTTGCCTCCCCTAAGTTGCTTTTGGTCAGAGTATTTTATCACAGCAACACAGAGAAAAATAGAACAGTGGGTAATGGGTGCTGCCATAGAAAGGCCTAAATCCCAAGCACTGCCACTTACTCCAGGGTCTGAGAGAGTGCTGCCTGCTGGCTGAGTGCGAAGGGGACCACACAGTGAGAATCAGGCTGCTTCACCTGTGTATTTATGAGCACATGTCTTTTCAGATGTGCTTGAACTGAATTCACAAGCAGTACTGGACAAGCAGTTTCATCAGCTTCCGCAATCTATCTATCTTGTTACTGATGATAACTGAACATTATGGAAACTCTTGGTTAATATTTAGTCAGAACCACTACACGGTATGTGAAAAAGTTTAATCTCCTCTGGAACCCACAGAGAAGCTAAAGACTTTGGAAATCAGGACAGTGAAATTAGGAAGTCCACACAGGGCTCCAAGTCGTTGGTGGCCCGATGGCATTCCCAAACGTGGCTGGGATTGTTCACTGGAACGTGTGGAAACAATGGTGAGGATTCCAAAGGATTCTGAGTAACTCCAGTTTCTAGCCAGAGGTAGGCTCATTAAAGAAAGTTTTCAAAGCTCCCAACCTCTGTGATTAAGACTCAAACAATGTTTCTCTTGGGTGTTCCAACTGAAGCCACACAGTGTGGTACTGTTAAGTTTTATTATTTCAAGGTGGCCAAGAGCAATTTGAGATGGAATGTCCCGTCAAAGCTCTACCATGGCAGTGCCTGCTCTTGTCTTTAAGTTACATTACATAATCTTACTCTCCGAAGCTAGAAATGAAACTCAGCAGAGGCATCCATCTGTGTTGGTTTTCTAGGATTTATACCATACGCATGTTCCTTGAAATGAAAGCACTGATTCTATCTATAGAATACATTAGCTCACAAAACAGAGGGTCTGCACTCTCTTAAAAGTGACTCAGGCCTTGAGTCAGGGGCCTGTGGAAAGCAACTAAAAATACTTTTTAGATGAAGCTCTTTGTGCTGGTGTTGCATGCAAATGTTTGCAACTGGTGGTTGGTGTGAACCAACAGACTGCTGAGGGAGGGCCACATCAGCAGTCCTTAGAAAGATCATTAGCTCATTTCATGCTAGGTTACCTGGTAGGATCGCTACAATAGAGAGACAAGTCAGACTTCAAGTCGGACAGTCAGTGTGTGTATCCACAAAAAGAAGGTGATAGAGATGAGGAAGGATAGCAGTGGGCTGGGCATTGTGGGGTATGAGCACACACACACAGAGAGAGGGAGAGAGCGAGAGCGAGAGCGCAAGAGAGCGACGAGAGAGAGAATGTGCAGTGACAGGAAAATCCTGCATGTGGAACCACAGGAGCAGAGGAAGTGTTAGACTGACAGTGGGTGGTCTCTGTCTAGACTTGGGGGAATATCTTGGGCTCAGGGTATGAGCTTGGGGAAGGGGAGTCGGGCACCTGTCTTGAGGCCTGTACTCTATAAATCTTATCTTCCCAACAGTAAAAGGAGACATTTCAGAAGCTGGTGCTGTGAGAGAAAGAGAAACCTGTGCCCTGGACTTTTCTGCATGGCTTCCCAGGGCTCTTGTACCCACAGGAAGCTGGAGTGAGGGTTAGGGGAGGATGAACTGGGATGCGGTGATAGAGTCAGAGCCCACTGCCCATTTTGGCCTGTGGGGCCCCTGGCCAGGGGCTTTTCTTTCCTTATTCACTGGGTGTTGCTGGGATAAGAGAAAACGGTGGCAGCAATAGCTCTGAGCTCCTGCTAGGAAAAACCAAGGCAAAGCAATAGCTATTGCTACTGTAGTTTCTTTTCTTCTTTTCCTTTTGGAACACTATACACTATTTTTCATTTCATTTTATTTTATTTTTTGGTGTGCATGCTAGCTACTTTTTTCAGTGCAAAATCCTAAAGTTTTTTTTTTATTGTCTTATTTATTAATTTTATTTTATATGTATGAATGCATTGCCTGCCTGTATAAAAGTGTACCTGTGTCATGTAATGCCTGCAAAGGTCAGAAGAGGGCGATGAATTCCTCTAGAACTGGAGTTATAGATGGTTGTTAGCCACCATGTGGGTACTGGGAATCGAACCCGAGTCCTCTGCAAGAGCAGCCAGTGCTCTTAACTGCTGAGTCATCTCTCCAGCCCCCATAGCCTATACTTTGAAGTGATATAGATGCAACAAAATGGATGTTTACTGACTGACAAGTACAGCAGTTAAATCAAGCTGTAGAAAAGAGGTCAGGAGGGTTAGATGCCTCTCTTGGAGGGGCCAGCAGTCACAGGAGGGATGCTGTTCACTGAGGCTGAAAAACCAAAATTGGGGTGGTGAATGGGAGAGGCGATGGCTCAGTGGTTAAGAGCACTTACTGCTTTTGCAGAGGATCCAGGTTCTGTTTCCAGCACCCACAACTGCCTGTAACTCTGGTTCCAGGGAATCAGGTGCTCTCTTACCTCTCTGGGCACCTGGACACGTGCGGTGCTTATAAACTCACATAGGCACATATATGAAACCAAACCAAACAGAATACAAGTCTTGCTATATGGATACAGTGGGTGTGTTCCAGTCACGAAAGATAGTCATGTACGTATGAGCTAAAGGCCCTAGCCTTACATGTCCACATCTCAGTCATCTAGTACAGAGTCTGCAAGGCACAAGTTTGACTAAACAACAAACCACAGAAATCAAATCCAATATATTTGATTTTTAGGGAACTTTCTTTCCTTTTGCAAATACTCTCTCAGGAGGAATAATGTGACCATAGGAACACTAATTTGGAAAAGCATTAGCAGACCTATACCAAGATAAGCTTCAGTTTTCTCTGTCACTCCCAGAGAAAAATGTCCCAGGTACCTCCAGTGCTCCATCACCACATTAATTTTATAAAGGAAGGCTCGAGAAACAGTAGTGCTTCTCCTTGGAGACCACTGTCTATCAAGCAGCAATTTTACAAAGTGTGTTTCTGACATCATACCACGCAGGTCTCACCTTGTCAAAAGCGGGATAGACAGCACGGATTTCTGTCAACCAGCCATATGGCATGTGACCCACGGGGTAGGTAGCTGTCAAAATCGCCACTGCCTGCAAGAGAAGAGTGGACAGCGTTAGCATGGGCACCAGCAGGAAGTCCTCCAGGAATTGCCAGGCCAAATGACAAGGCCAGTGGCACATCTGTCCACGTATGGGGCAGCCACAAGACAGGCTGGAACAGAGTAAGGACATGAGGAAGGTGCTGCTTCACATGAATCTAATGAGGACCAGGCTAGAGCATCTACTTACGAAGCAAAGATTTTCAACCCAGGCTCCTCACACTCTAGAATCTTTCCTCTTTCCATTGGGCCTAACCAAGCCCTCCAGTCAGTGTCTTTGGCATGTATGTGTAAATGTCTGTTCACGTAAGTGTGGGTACATGTGCTGTACGTGTTTGGAGGCCAGGGTTTGACACTGTTTATCTTCCTCAATCACCCTCTGCCATATATGTGGAGGTGGGTATCACTTGAATCCAGAGCCCATCCATTCGACCAGTTGTCTCCACCTCCCATGCTCTGGATTATAGGTGTGCCATGATGCCCATTTATGTGGGTGTGGGGATCTGAACTCTGGTCCTCACCTGAGCCATCTCCCCAGCCCCTCAAGCCCAATCTTGGGTCTCAAAATGACATGAGGAGCAGTCTTGGCTTGGCTCCGCCACTCCACCTCCATGCTGTCCTTCACAGAGGCTGGCATTATGTTTATCAGTGACGTGCTCCTTTCTCTCCAACTCAACTCATTTCAGGCTGCTCAGTCGGTATAAGAATTAAAAAAATTAATAAAACCATCGAATGCTTCATATAGGAAACCCTGCTGACATGTTTCCATGAAAAGACAGCTTTCTATTTTACATGAATGAAAAGGAGAAAAAATGAACCAACAGCATCTAACACTACATTCCAGCAGAGTTAACACTAACTCACTGGTGAGGAAATCAGGTTCTCTCTATTTTAAAGAGCAGTGCACCTGTGCCCAGTACATGCCCAAGAAGCATGAGGCAGTCAACAGCTGTGTGAGGAAACTGTGGTATAACAAAAAGAGCACGGTGATTAAGCAGCCCTAGACCTAAACCTTCCTCTCACTGCTTATGAGCTGGCTGACTGAGATGGGGACTCTCCCTGCCACTCCCTGTTTCTCTGCAGCAACAAGACTGGTAATATGGTACTATTCACTGCATAGGACTGACAGGGACTGCCTAAAACCATAAATGCCTGAGACATAAGTATATGATACATTAATGTCAGCTCTGTCCCCACATGCTGTGTTTCCATGCTGTTGCTGGAAATTTGGAAATATTTTAATATAAAATCTGTCCTTTTTGGTTTGCTTTACGGGATCATGGAATTCTAGCACACAAGTCATAGGGGTTCCAGACTGTTTACTGGGAAACTCAGAATTTAACTTCAAAAGCTGCTGTGCCACAACAGCCACCCAAGATGACAGCTATGATTCAATCAAAATCCAGGATCAAACCGAGGCCAGAGAAAGTGTCCTGCATTTGATTTATGGGCACCTTCTCCTGGCCAACAGGAGCTCTTCCCAGGCGGGGAAATTGGCTGTTTCCTGGACAGGATGCTCCAGGCTGGGCAGCTGCTGAGCTGCTGACGGTGCAAAGGCCTCAGCTGCTCCATTGCAAGAGCCACATGTAAACTGAAGGCCTTAATGAAAGGTCACCAGCCTTCCCGAAGAATCGGTGATGCCAGCGACAGAATGAATTCTCCAGAAGGCAGTGGAGGAGGAAACAATGAAGTCACTCTATTTGTTCATCCCTAACTTAGAGCAGGGAACAGATGAGTCAAGTCTTTCTGTGGCATGGCTGCCAGTTTCCAGATACATTTCTGGAGCTAAGTACAGGAGTGAATACAGGAGAGCCTCATCTGGAGGAGGGCTGACTGCCAAGAGCCCATGGGGCAGCATGTGTGTGAGGCTGGGGCAGAGCACGCGTGTGAGGCTGGGGCAGAGCAGGTGACGCGAGGCTGCGGCAGCACAGAGGCATTGGCCCTGGCCCTCTGGGCACTGCCAGAGCTCCCACACAGCATGTATCTCCATCCTCTACAACTACAGTAAGAGGCGGCATGCCGGCACCATGGAGAAATGGGAAGGCCGTGGGAGGGAGTCAGAAACCCAGGAGGCTCTCACTGTCCCAGCTTCTAGTTAGTTCTGTCCCTGTCTTTCCGCCCTCTCAGGTCCTCGTGTGGTAAATGAGAAGGATAAAGTAGGTATTTTCTCCTGGTTTCATGGCGTCCTATTGTCACTGTTGTATGACTTGACGCTTTGGAATTACCTGAGCACCTGAGAGGAACTGGAGACACGTTTGAATCACCTTAATCCCTCACTGTGACCACAAGTGCCCGCACCCCGAAGCACACTACCTCTGTAGCCTCGGAGCTGCCACCAAGGTCCCGGGAAACAAAGAGGTTGACGATGGGGCGACTGATTCGCTGTGTGGCCAGAATCAGAGCCAAAGGCCACCAGAAGCTCAGCATCTTTCTTATTGTTGCATCACCCTGTGTTAAGAAACAGATCAAAGTTGACTAGGCTCCAGAAGTAGAACAGAAAGCAGCTCAAAATCAAAGCCTTCCCACCTTAGGCCACTCACGAGCAAATTTGTTACACTTAACAGAAGCATACAGAAAAGCCTCTATAGACATGCCAAGTTGAATGAAAATTAGGTGTACAGCCTTATTAGAAATCAATTCAGACAGCTGACAAGCTACTATGAAATCAAAGCATGCACTGAAGCTTGAGGGATCCCATCCACTGTTTTCCATATGGGACTCAGTCTCCCACCAAGGTGGAGCCCAGCTCTGAGACCTGGAATTAGTCTCTGTTTATATCATCACAGTGACTGGCTCGAAGGCATGGCAGCAGGGCGGGGTGGGGGGGGCACGACACGACAGAAAACTTATTATAATCAATGTAAACGAATATGCCCAATTATTTCAGCATTGTTTAAATCAGCTACAGAGGTGCTCACCCTCCCTCAGAGCTTTCCAGAAGCCACAAACACTGTGCCAACCGTAAGTGAAATAAAAGAGCAAAAGACGCAGCCATGTCTTACAACCCCTGCAGACAGGGCCAGTGCTATCTTTGAAGCCTGGTTTTGTTATGAACTTTTGGTTCCCATTCTTAAGAGAGCATGAGTTACATTACAGAACCATCTCGGCCACTTTCATTTCTTTCCCTTTGCTGGTGACTGAAGGTTGAGAGACAGATTGCTCCTGTCAACACTAATGTGGTTGGCCAAATGGTGGAAAGAACTAGGAAGAATTTCAGTGACAGCCTGACCCTGGATGGAGGTATGTGGTCAACACAATTACTGCTGTGACTTGACGAGAGCAACATGTGGTCATACTGCAGGCTGGGGGAGTGTGGGATGTGCTCAGGGGTACACATGAACATTCCTCTCTTTCTTACAGTCAGATGGAGAGAAACCCAGTGGAGTCTAATGAACTGGGGGAGGAACAAGAAGCAGGCCAAGCCTGATACTGCGGGTGCTTGTGACAAGCAGGACACTGGCCTCTTGTGACAGGTTGTGTTTCACTTTTGCTTCCTATTTGACTTAATTTTTGAGACTTTCATGCATGAGAACTATATTTACTGTGTTTCCCACACACACTCTTCCCACCACTGCCTCTCAGTTTTGTGACCTTCACTCTCAGCCTACTGGACACCCCCGGTTAGACAATGTTTTCTAGACATGACCAGGAAGCTGCACTCATGAAATCTCAACAATATGGTTGTCTAAATGTGATCTGCATAATGAAACACCAGTTGACAGGCCATTGATGGCTGCTGAAAGGGAGGGGTATGTGTGTGTATGTTTTCCAGGGACGAGCTCCCTGATAGGTTATCTAATCCCAAGTGGTCAGTCTTATTTGACTTTTTTTTTCCTTTTGGTCTTTTTGAGACAGGGTCTCTCTATAGCCCCAGCTGGCCTGCACTTACTACGTAAGCCAAGCTGGCCTTCAACTCACAGAGATCCGCCTGCCTCTGCCTCTGCCTCCTGAATACTGGGATTAAAGGCCACCATGCCCGGCTTTATTTGACTTTTAAGGCCCAGGTCAAACTTAAACTTCTCCAAGGAGGCTTCTTAGGGATGACCATATCCCGGCCCTCAATTTGGAGGCTCTTAGGTTCTCTCTGCCGTATGTGCCGTCTCGACGCATCTAGTTGTTTGTCTAATTGTTCCTTCTGTGTTGGTCTCCCTGTTTGAAGCTATGTACCCTATCTCAAGATTTTCTGTCACTTTTGTTCGGCCCCTAGGAGGTAGGTGCCTGATTAAGAGATTAGGACAGTCTGGGTCTCTACTGTGAAGTTAAAAATATCAAAAGAGGAGTGAAAGAGGTTTCAGTAGAGTACAGGGAGGTATGAGCGCTGCATCTGCCCTTGAACGGACATGACACTCTATGCCTTGTCTCCTCATATACGAGGAAGAGGCTGGATGGCAACATCTAACATGATTTTCCATCCTTGAAGTTCACTGTTCTCCAAGTGTCTCCCCTCAGATACCACCTAGCACCTGACTTTGGGTACCACGTAACAGTCTGTGCTTACTACATCCAGTTCTTATTTCATACAGAACCGGAATGTAATGTTATTTTCTGGGTCTTGGACAGACTGTGGTTAAGCAGGGAAGGACCACCTGGGGGAGAGGGGCCTTATGGGGACAAGGACAGGGGAATGGGGAGAGAGCAGAAGCAGGGTGGGTGGGTATGATCAACACATGGCACATACGTATAGGAAAAGAGCACAGTGAATCCTGTTAGCTTGCACTTAGTAAATAAATAAAAAGGCGTACCCCCAGCTCCGGGCCACTCCTATCTGGGATGATGTCATGGATGTTCTTGTAGTAGCCCAGGCACAGTGTGGTGCAACGCACAAGTGCACCCATGTACAGCGAGAGGATGGGGATAAGCAGGGGCTCCCGGCATTCCAGGTGACTGTGAAGCAAAATGGCTACGAAAACAACCTGTGAGGGAGGAGAGGTCAGGTCAGTGGGAGGAGAGCTGTCCACAGGACAGGTCAGCAGGAGGAGAGGAGCTGTCACAGAGGCCCAGACCCTCCTTCCTGAGCCTGGCAGGATGTGGAACAGGAACCCTACTGCTGATGCAGACAACAGGCTTTGCCTCAATACTGATCTCCACAACCCACATGCAGAGTCTGGGGTTCACTGGAGGAGCCCAACCATGATTTTGTTAGATTTACCATTAAGAGCCTCTTTTTAAAACTGAATTTTTGCAAATTTAATACAATATGTTTTTATTGTATTTAGATCCCGTCCCCTATCTGTATTTCCCTTGCTACCTCCTCCCCAATTTTTTGTATTATATATATAAATTATAGATGAATACGCACACACACACTGCACACACCCACACCCACACCCACCCCCCACACCCACACCCACATGCCTATAGTCAAATTTGTGTTCCCCAAATGTGCTTTGGTATGGGTCTATCCACTGGAGCCTGGTTAATCTACCAAGAGTTATACCCTTAAATGAGACTGACTTTCCCTGTCCCAGCAGCTATGGGTTGCCAACAATTCCTCAGGTTGAGTTGGGGTTTCTTACCCACTCCCCCATGTCTATGTTGGGATTTTGTCTGGCTTGAGCTTACACGGGATTTGTATATGACTCTTTTAAGGGAACTGCATTTCTGGTTAACAAACAAAAAGAAATATCTACAAACTTTGGCCTCTTAGACCTTCCCAAGTATAGTAGAGATCTTCCCCTTTAAGGATGGACACTGTGTATGCCCCTCAGAAAAAGCAGGGGTGGTCAGTGATGTACAGGAGCAAATGGTTAAGAATATTTACAAGGTGAAATTCACTAAAAGAACAGCACCACTAGAAATTATTATGAAATAACATAAATCTAAAATATAAACTTAGGAAACTGATCAAAATATTCTTTGTGAAGTGACTATGATGTCCATTTATTTGCCTAGAGATCTGGGTGCCCTTATATGCATATTTGGAAGTTGTAAGCTTCCTATTTACCATCTATAAAACCTACATTCCAAATCACAATGGTGATACTTAGAGGTTGGAAACTGGTCGTGTGGCTGGTAGAAATGACCAGAGTCAGGAGGGCCTGAAATCATGATAAAGTGTTATTCTTTCTTGGATGGTTCAGTCTCTAAGGCAGAATTTAAAATGTATTAATCTCCTCATGCTGCAATTTCTAGAGAGTCGGCTTAGCCTCTGCCAAGGGCCCTCCTGGGAACTCTTGTGCAGAAAATTCTGGAGGCACAATAAGCTAAAAGTAGGGAAAATGGGCATGGGGGAATCGTTGAGGTAACAACTTTAATGCGCAAATACCCATGGGAGAACAGGTGTGTCCAGTGTAATACCACTGAGGGAGGATGAGGCTGACCACTGCATTATGAAAACACAGCGAGGACAGAGTTATGAAGGACACAGTGCCCAGGCAGGATGTGTGACATCAGTGTGTTCACTGCCACAGGGAGACAAGAGCACAACGGGAGAACTCAGAACACAATCGAGTCTTAGGTGGTGGTCTCTCAGCGCAGCACTCAGGCCAGCGGACATTCTAAAACTATGTCAGTGTGGCCAGCGTCATCACTGAGTCCTCAGGTTGCAGAGCACAGAAGTGCTACTTGGAATAAGGAAGCTGACCAATGGCAGTGAATGGAAAGACGTGAAGACCAGCAGGAAGAAGTGCTGGGACACACTGCCAATGTCAGGTGCTTTGGGCTGTGGATACAATGCCTATTTACTTAGCTGACTAGTCAGAGTTCCCTACAATGCCTTTTTATGCATGCTTGGAGTAAGTATATCCACAGCAACCTTCATTTACCATCTACAAAAAAAAAATGCATTGTATCAGGGTGGTGATACGTACAGCTGGAAACCAAAAAATGTGCCACCTATGTGCAGCCATGTCAAATTCAGTGCCTACCCTGCCAATGGCAGGCACTGGCCCAAGAGACTGCCATAGAAATACTGTGACTCATGGGCCCTGTAGCCCTTGCCTGCCTGGGCTCAGGGATAAATTTGGTCACCTTAAGCCAGATGTGGTGGCGTATGCCTTTAATCCAGCACTCGGAGGCAGAGGCAGGGGGATCTCTGTGAGTTCGAAGCCAGCCTAGTAGTCTACATAGCGAGTTCCAGGCCAGCTAGGGCTGCAGGGAGACAAAATAAAAAAAAAAAAAAAAAAAAGCAAAACAAAACAAAACCTCAAAACCCCCAAACCTGTGAAGCTTAATATGTCCTCTGAGTCTAGGAAGACACCCAGAGCTGTCAGAACAGCTCTATAAGACAGAGGGTTGAGGAGCAGGACTGTGGAGGAGGAACTAAACAAGAGGGAAAGGGAAGATATTGGCCAAAGAGGTGTAAGCATGGAGGAGACGAGATAGCCGCCTGATGTGCAGTGTCTAGAACCAAAAGGAGGCAGGAGGATGGGCTTGGTCAAGGGAGCACCTAAGGTCAAGGTGATGATGCTATCAGCTTCCCCCTGAATTCCCAACAGACTGAAGCTATGCAGCCCAGCACTTGCCACAGGTCTGGTGTCTTCATGGCAGACTGTATCTTTTATCAGCTCAAAAATAACACTCCTGCCCTTTGCATCTCAATCCAGAATTACAATTCTGAATCTGACAGAGCCATCAAAAACATGTCAGATTATGTTTGAAAGGAACCCGCTGCTGTCTGTGGTAGGGATGTTCCCAGAGTTAGTATGTGCTAGCCTCAAGCCAGGTGCTGGGATTCAGTGATAGAGACAGCCCCAGTCTTGTCTGTTGGGGCTGACAGTCTACTGGAGAGGGCAGACATGATTTTCAAACAGTGGGTCAGTGAGCATCCCATTGCCTGTCAGGGAAGAGTGAGGTGCTGTAGGGGAGGGTGGGCATCTCTACTGGGCACTGCCTAGGCTGAGAACTCAAGCTTTAACAGAGGTGGGAGGGACAAGAAGGCAGTGGGGGAGAATGAGGCAGAATATTTCTTCCTAGGCAGAAAAGAGCACGGTTGGGGAAAGGACCATGTTGGGGCTAGGGAGGCACTAGGGTTTGTGAGTCTTCAGCCCCTTGTGGGTCAGCATTAGGAACTGAGATTTTCAAGAATACAGAAGTGAGTTTCAAAGCAAGCTTTAGACATAGGCTGGGGTAGTCAGGATTTCCCTGGGCAAGATGGCTATGGCTACATTAGGAACAGTGTGGGCTGGGTGGAGAAGACAGGGCAGCTGGTGGAGGTGAGTGAGGAGGCTGCTCAGCTCTGCAGGTAGGAGAGGATGACTCCCCAACCAGGGTGACAGCAGCAGAGATGGGCACAGAGAAGGGAAGGAATGCCAAAGGTCAGAATCTAAGTACTTGGTGATAAAGGAAGACCCTTCCAGGATGACTCTTAGGTTTCTAAGAAGACATAGCACTATTGATTTCTTCAACAGAATGCCTGGTATGGAAGATCTTCAACTCTGGCTGTGGGTACCTTTGAAGGACCTGAGTGGGTATGTCACAAAGGCATCTGGGTAGCTCTGACTGGTGCTCTGAGAAGGAAAGACGACAGATATTTAACAGAGGATCATAACTGTGTTGCAGATGCTGAAGACTACATTAGTCTGTTTTGCTGTTGCTGTAAGAGGGCTTATTTAACCCATTTTCTGAGACATGGTGCAGGCTCCGTGGGTCCCCTCTGACATCCTTGGCTGTGTTACTTCATGGCTCATGGCAATGGTGGAAGTGTGTGTAGCAGATCACTTGAAAATATCAAACCAGAGAGACTGGAATCCCATAGCTGTCTCAAGGGCAACTCCCAATGACCTAAAGGTCCCCCTCTTAAAAGAGTCCAACCCTCCTACATGTGAAACTTTAGGGATCAAACCACATCGTGGACAGAGAGGAGTCTCATCTCTGTGAAGCTCCTCCCACTCTGTCTACACAGCAAGGAGCTGCAGAGGTGTCTGTGAGACAGTGGAAACTGCCTCCAGGGTCTAATGACTCAGATCCCAGATAAGGGAGATCAGAGTGAAATAGTATGCTAGAGGTGAAGCCAGATGCATGTAGGGAACACTGCAAAAGAAGTGGAAAAATGGAGATGGTGAGTGGAAACTACCCTTCTAAGAAGTTTCACTGTGAAGCAATAAAGAGAAGAATAATTCTAGCTAAAGAGTAAGAAGGGACCAAGAGAAATCTTGCTGCTTCTGCACTTTCAGATTTGAGTATATTCACACACCCAGAGAATCATCCAGGGAGACCGAAGGGTCATTGGAAACTGTCAATAACGCTCTGAGAAAGCAGGCCAGACTAGGGCTCAAAGTGTAGGTCAAAGAGGTTGCCTTGGATGAGGGATACTACCTCTCCAAATATTAGGGAAAGTGGAGATGACATCAAGGCTGGAAGGTGAGCTTGCAGGCTGGAAGGTGAAGTTGAAGAATGAGGCTGCTCCAGTTTTCTCTGTGAAATGAGAAGTGGGAGGGGGAGAGCCCTTCTGCAACAGCCCCCAGGGTCAGCTAAGCTGCCTGAGGAGGTCATGCAGTATGTTTGATTATAACTGCTGTCCAAGTTTCTACAAGAAGAATTTGCTGCTGGGGGCAGGTGAGGCAGGGCATGACAAGGGCAAGTTCAAGGTTAGGGTCTTGCCAGAGGTTAAGATGGAAAGACAGTAAAAGAGGGGTCTGCTCTTGTTATCCTGGGGTTCCAGCTGGCCTCTGAAGGCATGCTGCAGCAGATAGTAGGGGATGGGAGGTCCCAGGATGGATAAGCAGCATCAAGAGAATTCTCAGTCTGATTCTGAAGGAACCAAGAAAATCTAGATGATCCTGGAATGGAGCCAACTAGCAGCATTTTTATGAAGCCCTTGGTGATGTCATTCACTGGGACAACTGGAACTACAATTCAATAAGGGCAGCAGAGAACAGGCCACATGCTTGAACAAACCAAGACAATTTTGTGCTATTATATGAAACCAATAAACTTGGGGGTGGGTGGATTTGTTCAAGTGAGAAGTTGTTGCTGAATTCTAGGCATTTTTAACCAGTTTCATTACACACTGGTGAAGAAGGTTCCTGGAAAGAGGCTGCACCTTCCAGTGAACCTTCTGCAAGGCTGATCAACTGATTAGAACTTCAATGATTGTGGGGAGGTTGGAATGTTGCAGGTCCAGAACCTAATGATAGTTTATCTTGGGCCATCTTTAGTCGCTATACTTTGCCTACCTCTCTGTTTGACCTAACGCCCTGTGACTATCAGATAAAAATCCTTTCGGAATGTATTTACTTAACAAAACCCTAGCTTCCACCAACCAAAAGGCTGAGTGTCATCAGATAGCATCTGAGGCCCAAAGTTGAGGTTTCTCACTTTGTTGTAACCTGCTTACTTAATGTTTCCACCAATGTACTTGAAAAATACCTTGATTTATGACTTTCTTTGTTCTGTTACTAAATACTTATCAAACTGTTACCGCATTGCAACATGGAGTTTGGGGTAACCTAAATCTCTGTTCCCAGAGGTCATGGGCACTCATATTTGGCTTCAGAATGAACTATCTCTTCTCTCCTTTGAAGTGAGAGCTGTGTTTTTTAAATTATTTATTTATTTATTGCATTGACAATGTCAAGCTAGATAGTATTTTGCATGGGACCTATTTACAAATTATCAAATTAGAAAGTAACATGCTTTCAGGTAATAATAATAAGAAACCTGGAGTGGGTGTCTGGAAGAGAAGACCTAATGAGGAAAAGAGGACTTATTCCCCTAACCAAATTGTGGCAGGAACTCAAATAAGAAGGTTTAAAATAACTACTATACCAGGAACAGCCAGGGGCCAGATGGCATCTGAACTCAGCTTCCCTCCATCCTACTAACTAGATTTGTTTATTCCAAGAGGTGGGGCCAGGGTTAGGCTGAAAACAGAGGAGGAAAATGGCTGTGGGCATACAAAGCATTTTCCAGGAGTACGTTTTTTTCTTCTGCCCCGAGATGCTAACTATTTTTATAAGCTAAGTGCTTTCTGCTTCCTTTTTTCTTTCTTTTGTCTTTTTGGCTTTAAAATAACACACATCTACAAACACTCACTGAGTTGCTGATGCGGTTTGAAAGGAGAGATGCTTCCTTCATTTCAAATTAAGTATTTAGAGTGAACAAGGCAGCTCACTCAGTTCAGCTCTCAGAGGATGCTGGAAGTAAGACTCTAATAGCTGTAATGGGTCAAAAACTCTAATAGCTGTACAGGAAAATTAACAAGATATATCAAAGAATGATGTTAGCTAGGACTCGGGCACATGTACACGTTAGCAGGAATTAATTTCAATTACTTTTACTACTGAGCCATGGAGTAAATGCAATTAATTTGGAAATTTAATTCTTGGTCTTTAGGGAGGTAAACCTAATAGTTTAACAGTAGATTATTTCAAAGCCATGGCTTAGAAACAAGGGTGTTCAATCAAGGAAACCGCAGGGAACTGTTTGCAGGCAGAACTGAGACTCTCGAAGTAAGATGACCATCTAACCCTTCCTCCAGGAACACATCTTTCTCTCAAGCCCCTCACTGTAGGGACTTGGTCAAGTTAATAAACAGAAGGAATTAATCTAACTTTCCCTAGAAGCTTTTCATGTGGTATTCTGAGAGAGAAGAAGAAAGAAAGGGCAGGGCTGGGCTGGGGCCGGGCTGGGGCACAGAGGAAGGGGAAGCTCATGCTTCTCAGACAGCATGGTCCTACAGTGGCACTGACTTTCCTTTTAAATGTGGAGAAGTCACATGTGAATGATAGGACTTCATGACACATACACAGGAAGCCATGTTTAAGAATAATCCCAGTACTCTGAAGGTTAAGGCAGGAGGATCACTGAGATTTCAAAGTCAGCCTGAGCAACAGAGAGAGAGAGAGACTGTGTCTCAGTAAAAAGAATAAAACAAAACAAAACTGGGCTGGCAAGAAAGCTCAGTGGGTAAAGTGCTTGCCACATAAACCTGGTGACCTGAGTGCAATCCCCAGAACCAATGTAAAGTAAGAAGGAGAGAACCAACTCCACAAAGTTGTCCTCTGACCTCCACACATGTTCCTGGCATGCATGCCCCCCCCCCAATAATCATAAATAAATAAAATTTAAGAAACAATGAAGAAAGAATAACTTCATAATTCCCAAGTGCTCATTCTGGAACCAAGTGACAGGCTGCACAGTGACCATCTGACTGGTTCCAAATGTACCTAGTGGGACTCAGTAATCATTTTTTTCTTTTCTTTTCCTTTTTGTGTATATGTGTGTATGTGTGTGGGGGGGGTGCAATCACCCATGTATGCACATGCAGAGGCCACAGGCTGATGTGGGGTGTCTTTCTCTTTTACTCTCTATCTTATGTTTTGAGACAGGGTCTCTCCCTGGATGTGGAGCTAGACATTTCAGCTAGACTGACTGGGCAGCAAGGCCCTGGCCTGGGATCTGCCCACCTTCACGCACCTGGTGCTGGGGTTACAGATGCACACGTTTACACATGTGCTGGGAATCTGTACTCTGGTCCTCATGCCTGGCAGGTACTTTACCCACTGAACCATCTCCCCAGCCCCCTCAGTCATCAGTTCATATGTACAGGCTTCAAAAATATGGTTAAAACTCTAGACACTGAACTGAAATCTATACACCACTCATCCTAGCACAGACTAGACATACTGTGATCATATTTCCTCACTCATGTAATGGTTATCAGAATCCACAGCTGATGCAGCTGAATGCTGGGAAGTGGCACACAGACCCAACTGTAAACATGACTTCAACATCTCTGTTCCATCCTATAGGTTATTTATCAGAAGGCCACTGAGAAGCATGACAGACACACAGATAGTCCATAGTTACCTGAGCTATGACGTCTGAGATTGAGGCACATCCCACCAGGAAACTGTATTTGTGTTTTAAGAGAATGCCAGCATGTGTCCATGCCTGCCAGGAAGAAAAGGATTTTCAATGAGAGATACAATTGGATCACAGTGTTTCTTTTATTATGACTTACTAGATATTCCTGAAACACACTTTGTATCTCCAAAAGTCTTAGCAACAGGTTTGAAAAATCACTGGTAAAAGTTAACTTCATCTGGTGGCTAGCTGAATAAGGGGTGGGATAAGTGACTGTACACATTACACATCTATTTAGTTACACTAACTGGGGACTGGTTGGGCTGGTCTGCTTGACTAGGAGCTGAATGACTTCCAGGAGGAGACAAGATCTTTCCTGGAGCGATCTGGATCCCACAGAACTGGTTTTCCTCCCAGAAACACATTAGAATGAAGGCTCTAATATGGCTTTGAGTTACTGCGGGCATCAGTTCTCTCTGACTAACCCCTGACTGCCATTTTCCTGTCTCCAGGTTTGGGGAGGATCTGATCCTGATTTTATCTTCGAGGGAGGCTCAGAGGAAGGTCCTAAGTACGAGCAGGCAACCCTACGTTCGGGAGGCGGCAGGTCTGAGAGATGCTCAGGACAGCATCTGTAAGGACTGCACTTCTCACCTTAAAGTCCAATTTGAACTGACAGAAAGAACATTACATTTGAGCTGAATACAGTCACAAAAGTCCCCAGTCTGTGTCACGATTTGTAGAGCAGCTGCCGTGTCTACTTTCTTCCTCAGTTCTGAGGTCACAAGGTGCCAAACACTTTTTCAAAAGGGCAAAATGTAGATAATACTTGTGAGCAGCACCTTGTGGACTGCCTTTATTGTCTGAAAGTCATCTGGATGACAGGCTTCATGGCTTCCAAAATTATCTCTCCAACCAAGTTATCAGGCTTGTGCTGCAGGTAGATGCACATGTGCATATGCAGGTGTGTGTGTGTGTGTGTGTGTGTGTGTGTGTGTGTGTGTGTGTGTGTGTGTGTGTGTGTGTGTGTGTGTAAGTGGGTGGGGGAAGAGATGATCACTTTTCACAAAATGCTCATTTTGGATTTTATTAGCAGTTTCTTACTGTTCTATTGGGTTTTCAGGAGAATTTATGAATAAAACATGGAAGAAAGGGGTATTTCATTACAGTCTAGTGTTACGCAGGTTGAATATCCAAAATGCTTGGCACTAGAAATGGAATGTTGTATACACACCTATAATGAGATAACCAGGGACTGGAACCCATGTCTAAACACGAAATTTATATTTCTTATACAAATAGCCTGAAGGTAATTTTATACAATATTGTAAAAACTTTTGTGCATGAAAGAATTTTACAGATGAAATTGAGTGTAGGGTTTCCCAGCTGTGGTACCATGCAAGAAGTTTTTGATTTTAGGCCAGTTTAGGGTCTGGGATTGGAGGACTAGAGATGCTTAATTTGTAGTGAGTTTTAGAAACTCTCTCATGACACAATAAATAGAGCTGACAGGCAGTAGAAGACAGAGCATCTGAGAGACTGCGATTCACTTCCATGGACTGTCCTGAGTTCCCAGAATTCGCTGCATAATTACAACTCTCTGTATTTAGATTCCCACTTCCACTTTAGAGGGGAGACAGAATGATGTCATAGGTGCAGTGTAGAATGTTCAGCCTTAACTCTTTCAGGGATGGGTGGAGTTATTATTTAGTGAGGAAAGCCTTAGTTTTGCAATGTGAAAAGAGCTCTGGAAATTAACTACAAAAACATGAATGTTCTTTATGCTACTGAAGGAGACATAAAAATGTTTAGTGAATTTTATGATACACATAGTGTACCATTAAAAAGAAGAAAAGCCCACTGTTTCCTCTACTTACCATGGCATCCATGAAAGGGAAGGCAGCGAGATACAGGAAGGCCCTTCTTGTTTTGCTCCCCACAGATTCGTCCACGTGATGTAGCTTGTTGATAATGTAGTACCCCAAATCACTGTAGGCTGCAAGGGATCCAAAAAATACACAGCAACATTCAAAGACACCTGCATATACTTTTAATCTAAAGAACTTAAACTAATTGTAAATGTCGTATCTGCTTGCTGTGGAAAAATCAGAAAAAAATAGAAGAAAACAATCTACAATAATTTCATTCCTCTACCCAGGGGGAGGAAGTACACTTTGGGTGCTCGTTACCCAGTGCTTTTAAAGGTGTGGGGGGTAAACATGTAAGCTTCAACATGAAAGTGTGGTCAGACTATATATACTTCTTACAAACGATGACCCTCGCTGAGTGACACGCATCTACATTTTAATTTACTATCTCTCAATGAGTTGAATTTCTTTTTGTAGATTTATTTAGTATCAATTTACACAATCTTCCATAACAATTTGCGATATCGCAAATAGTATATTGATATTAGAATGAGTGACGGATCTAGTTAAAGCTAAATGTTATTACTAAATGTTATTATACTGTTAGTTTTTTACTGAGACGATTCTTAGATGTTAGCATGCCTTTTCCACACATTTAAAGTTAACTTTTGACACCTGCGAGCACTGATGCCATTTCTTGAGAGGAGGGTGGCAAGATCAGAAACAGTCCTGCATAGTAGACAGTGATACCCAGGAGGTGCTTTGGAAGTCCTCCTATGTCAGGACTCATCAAAATGTGAGACCGAGCCAGAGAGGGCACTCAACTCACAGGCAGGATGGGTGTGCACAAGCTCACAGACAAGGGGAGAAAGAGGTAGGACTTATCTATCAATTAGCATCCTAACAGACATCATGAATAGAGATGAAAGAACGACTGAGCCAGTTTCAACCTACTGTGACGATGTGAATCCATGTTCCTCAAGGCTCATACAAGTGCTCTACCAGTAGGTGCTAGCTCTGGGACTCTCTCTCTCGTAACCATGGATATACACATGCACAACACCCATAGACACAGAGGAGCTACAGGGAAATAATAAGAGCCCCATTTCAGAGGTTGGGTCAATGGAGACAATGCTCCTTTGTCAGGATTAGTCTTGAGTCACAGAGATTTTGTAGTGAGATCTTAGAAATGACCTTCAGGACACTGAAAGGTACAGATGGGAATCTCAGAGGTCATAATGAGCAAAGAGGCAAGTTCAGGATGAGGAAGCTGAGATGGTTATGATGTCCAGAGTGCAGGGCAGGGCTGCAAAGGGAAGCAAAGGTGTCAGGTGAGGAGGGTGACAGGGGCATCAAGACCACCAAGGATGCAAGAAGGGAAGCTGAGCAAGGGACCTGAAGGAAGAGACAGCTGCGCTTGGACCCACTGTTGCATCAGAAGATGCAGACAGTGGCCTGACTGGACCCTGGAATGTGGCAGTGAAGGAACTGAAATCTTAGTCTGTATCAAGGTAAGAGGCATGTGAGACCAGTGCTCGGTGGGTGGAAAGACAAAGCCAGAGTGAAGGTGTTCCTGAGTCACAACATCTACTCTGGGTGCTGAGCTGCAGAAGTTTTGCTGCTTTATCGTTGCTGCTATTTATCTGTATATTTGCTTTTATGTAGCCAACAAGTGCTTGCTTGTGCAGGGTCTTATAAGGAGAGAGCCGCCACCTACCCGTACCACTGCCCCTGCCCTACAGAAGCAGCTGGTGATGAAAAGGGCAGGGATGTCACATGCAAGTGTGTACACTGCTATAAATAGCTCATGAGTGAGTGAAAATCCTCTGGTAAAGGTTACAGTCCATGGAGCATGCCAACTGACAGGACCTAAGTGCAGGGGCCGATGTTAAGGATCATGGTCTAGGGAAAGGCTGAGAGCCAGAAAAGTGGTGTCATGGGCAAACCATGTCTCCCTGAAGTTCAAACATCAAAGTCCTCACCCCTGGACCTCTGAAAGTGACCTTATGTAGCAAGAGGGCCACTGTGAATATAACAAGATGAAGTCACACTGGAGTGAGTGGGTGCCCAACACAATATGACTGGTGGCCTTATAAAAGGGAGAAATTGGACACAAAGAGAGCTCTGCAGAGGAAGAGCCCTTTGTAAGGGTGAGGGCAGAGATTGGGTGATGCCATTCCATGTCAAAGACTGCCAGCAAAGCCCCAGAAACCAGGGGGCAGGCAGAGGGCAGGTTGTTCCTCAAAGGGCTCAGAAGGAATCAGCCTGCCCATACTTTGACCTTGGGCTTCTTGCCTCCAGAAGTTCAGAACTGGAAGACTGTACATTCCTGCTGTTTACACTACACAGTCTGTAGTATTTTGATATAGCTTCCCTGACAAACGACAATAGGTAGTTTTTGAGAAAAAGAACTATTTTTATGTTAAGAGTCTGGGGTGGCAGCAAGAAAAGATGAGACGCGTGAGTTTGAGCAGCTGAGAGCAGGGCCTGAGGCCTGCTCCTGTGTTGCCTGGGAAGAGGGAGATCAATGGAAGTGAGCTTCCCCACCCCTGCAAATACAGCTTCTTATTCAGTTATTTTAATGAACGCGCCGAATCAGGGCCTTTGTGCAGGCTCTATGAATAAACACAAATAGGGTTAAGGGGCCGAGGAACCATGAGGATGGTGGTCCTTTCTCCCAGCTCTGCCTCCTGGGCATGCGCAAGTCCCTCCCTTGCGCTTCCAACTCCCCGTGCCCAGTTTCCAGGACATTGGGGGCTCCTGGGCCAAGGGCTACATTTTCCTCTTTTTAACTTTTCTTCCTACCTTAAACTCTTGGTTTCTTAGCTACTAAAGGAGACGTTTAGAAGCTGAAGACAGCTTTTTCTCCCAGATTTTCTTGCTTCTGGTCTTCCTTAAATGGTAGAAGAATCTGATTGCAACTAAGAGACTGTTTTCCCCCGTGACCACTGTGAGTGTAAAATCCCAGCACCTGTTTCTACCCAGTCTCTCCTGTCCCCAATTCTACCCTTCTGTGCCAGGCCCTGAGCTACTTCTAGCTCAGTCTGAGCTGGTGACTTGGTGATTTGCTTAAAATGGTTTGCATACACTCCTTAATGATAAATCTAGCTGCCTTAGCAATGTTTAGTAAGCTTCGGATTTGCACAACTGCCTTACTAAGACTTCTCTAAAAGCTAGTCTTCCTTATGAAGCACAGAAAGATATAAAACAAAATTAAACAAAGCTTCTGAACAGATGAAAACAAGTTTTATAGCTCTGCAAATGGCAGGACACTGACTTGACCTATGTACAGGTAGAAGGCTTTGACCCAGACCAAACAAGGACAGGAAGGCCTTTCAAATTCATAGATCCTATGACCTTAGTCAACTGAGAACAGCCCTTTCTGCAATTGTGGCTTTCAAACCTGCTGGGCTAGTATTTACTAGCACTTATCGCAAACCATGAAACAGTCACGTTGATGAAAAATAATCTACACACATATATTCCATGGGGACTGAGACCCACCCCCTCCATTTAGGAGCATTGCAGTAGTGCATTTCCAAGATGGAAAATTCAGAACAAAGTATCAATGTGTACAAGTCTCTCCAGTATTATTTATTGATCCACTGAATCCTATTTATGAGACTTTTCATGGGAGCACACATTTTCATCCCTAGGTTTCTAATGTATCACTTCCAAAGTATATGCGTTACATGGCTGATAAACTACACAAGTGACTTCTTCACATTAACTGTACCAATTACCTAGCTGTGGACTGGACAGTTTTCTGCATGAGAGCTGGGATGCTGATGTGTGATACGTGCAATTATATTCTATAATGGTCAGTGTTTGGAAAACATGGAGATGGGAGGTACACAGATGGCCTAGGCCTTGGTGAAATATCCTAGCTCCACATGGAATATAAGTGAAGCAAACATGAAATTTTAACACAAGAACAAAAGTCAGCCTCACTGGTATCAGGACTGGATAGAGTGGGGTTCGTCAGACGTCACTGCAGGTGTCTGCTTCTCACTAGACAACACATCTTATTCCTGTCTGAATGCTTAGGACACAGTCAGGGTTTTCCATAGAGTAGGTATTTGATTACTATGGACTGAATTCATGGATGAATCAACCCATCATTCCCCAAAGAATGTAAAAGTGTCCTCTGCTCTTCCTGCCTCCTTAGAGCTCTGTTCTTTGTAATTTTATACTGCCTTCCACCACAAGCTCGAGTTTGGGTGTCTACCCAACTAGCCACCCTCCCACCTAGCCTGGCAGCAATGCATTCTGGTCAGTAGTGTGTAGTGGAAATGGGGGTGTGGTGCCTCTGGCTCTTGGCCTTAGGAGGCTTGTGTACCTCCACTCTGCCACCTGAAATCCAGCCACAGCCATCTAGAGATGCTCAGGCAGTGCTACTGGACCACGAAGGACCATGAGGGTGTTTCTTTAGAAGAAAGCCCAGCTGTCTCAGCAGGGGCCACGTGGCCATCCCCTTGAGAACCCCCTCAAGATCAGCAGAGCCAACTCTGATTCTCAGTTGATCATAGGGGTGTGATCCCAGCAAAGTCCAAAAGGATGGCTCAGCTAGCCATGATCTGGGTAGCAAAAGTAAATGCTTTCTTTTTAAGCCACTAAGTACTGGGGTGAGTTGTTTCTGTCATTTTTGGTTTTGTGATTTTGAGAGAAGGTCTCCTGTAGCCCAGGCTGGCCTTGATCCTCACTATGTAGCTCAGGATGACCTTAAACTCCTGATCTTACTGCCTTCACTTCCCAAGTACACCACCACATCCAATTTTATGCAGTGCTGGAGATCGAATTCAGGACTCTGTGCAGGCATCCTGAGTCCCTGGGGCAGGTTTTCACATAACACATGAAACTGTTCATTCCTAGTGCTCTTGTTGGTGTCACTTGCCACATGGAACTTGTTGACCCTTCTTAGGGCTAGTCATGAATTGGGGGGTAAGACTGAAAAGAGAAAGCTGGCAGACATAACAAACCTAGAAATTATTTCAGTTGCCCATGGTAAGGGCGCGCACACAGTTAGATCCCCTGAGTTCTGCTGACCATCCAGTCACTTCAGAATGCGAAGTGGTCACCAGTGGCAACAAATGTGTAAAGAAAGCTAAAATCCAGAGCAGTGGTTCTT